TTAATTTCTTTTTAGAATGAGATTCCAGCTACTTTGGCATCTATGGGACTGAAGATTGGAGATCAGGTTTGCATCGGGGGAAATAAGGTAATAATTAAATTATAATTATTTTACTTAGTGCCTATGTTTATTGACTTGAAGTAGATAAGTAGCCTGCAAACACAGACAGATTTCTTCCTGTATCACACCACCAAAAAATACTGGAGGCGTGAAACAAAAGCTGGAAATCTTTCTCTGTTTGCAGGCTAGTTGAACTAACAAGTAACTTCTGCAGAACTTTGCTGTACTATGAAGCAACTAAGATGCTAGTCTATTGCCTTGGTGTAGTATTATGTCCAGTCAACAATTAGCAACATGTATTAATTTATGCATTGTTAAAGTTAAGTATTTCAAGGTCCTTGGAGCCCAAGACCAGGATCCTGGCTGGGGTTTGAACCATGGTGATGGGAATAGATTTACATCAGTTGATCATCTTAAAGCTGCACTACCAAATTTACAGAGTTAACAATGAGAGTTCAACTTCTGGCAATCATTATTAAATAAGAATTCACATTTTGATCACAATGTTGATTTCATTTCAGTTTGGAACCCTTCGCTTCTGTGGTCCAACTGACTTTGCCTCAGGGGAGTGGGCAGGCATGGAGCTTGACACTCCCATTGGAAAAAATGATGGTTCTGTTGGAGGTGTTGTATACTTTCAATGCCCACCTAAACATGGTAAGTTGCCAAGAACACAATGCTTCCTTCTGTTTTATTTTTAAATCTATCGTTAGACAGACCAAATTCAAGACTGAAAATGGGAATTTGTGAAATTATAATTTAAAATAGATTTAAGATTGTAGTTTACTTCTTGATAACAGGATAAGTTCACTTATAAAACACTCAAAATACTTTGTTTCTCTTTTGGTCTATTTATATTTTTTCCGTTTTTTCTATAGGTAGTTCCTTATTAAGAGAAACTAATTTCATCCAAGCTATTTTACTCCTTATTTCTTATTCATTATCATGTCCTCAATCATCAGGCATTTTTGCACCTCTGTCCAAGATCACTAAAGCAGACTCCATACAAAAGCAGCAGACTCCGTCCAATTCTCGTATTGCTCAGGCCCAGGTCTCTCAGTCCAGTTCACGGGCATCATCAAGGTCCAACTCAAGACCTAACTCAAGACCAAGTTCCCGCTCCAACTCGCCAGCTCCTTCTTCTCGAGTGAATGGAACTGATGAATCGCTTGGTTTTCAGGTTAGCTTTCATGGGCTTGCTAGGCCATAATTTTTTTAAAATTCTTCGGTGATTGCTGTGCTTCAGCTTTTACCTTTCGTTAGAATTTAACATAAACAGAGTTAAAAATACAAGAAGAACTCACCTCGTCAATGTCCCGTAAACTGAATTAGTCTTTGACGGATTATTTTCAATTGTCATAATGTAATCCAGTACGGTGAATGTGAGGCATTTTCGGGCGATTTTACAGTTACTACCGGAGATTGCTTCACATAAAAGTTGAATTATATTATAAAATTTGCAGATAAGACCAAATTGATATTTAAATCAGGAACTATTTTACAGCACTGGTCATAGATGAAATTGAAAGCTTTGTGTAGATAACCTTCAAATTAAAAACAAGAATCCCGAAAAGCTTTTGCGTTGCGCGATTTTTCCAAACTTGCGACCATTTAGACTTAATTTCGAGATATCTCTCGAGATAATGTAAATGTAGACAATACTTTTTGTTCAACTGTTTTGATCTTCTTGTCCAATACAGTCGAACCTCCCGTAAGCGACCACCAAAAATGTCAAGCCTGGGTGATCGCTTACGGGAGGTGGTCGCTTACGAGAGCATAGACCAAATTGGGTCCACATTTTGCCTCATTACAATATGGTAACTGCAGAGACATGCGCGAATGCCGATGAAATGTTGTATTCATGTGAAAAGACAATTTTGAGAAAAAAATCCGTTTTTCCCTTTGAGAAATTTACTTGTCTTGTACTACCCAGGAATACGGTAATGTTACCACATCTTATTATCCAATTTCCGCTCTATTATCTATTAAGTGGTCGCTTACGGGAGGTTAAAAAGAAAAGAAAATTTAAAACTTAACTCTTAAAGTGGTCGCGGTCGCCTACGAGAGGTGGTCGCTTACAAGAGGTTCCAAAGATAGTGGTTTGACTGGGAAACGTTTGGTATTTTGGAAAACTGGTCGCTGAGGAGAGGTGGTCGCAACCGGAGCCAAATTCTTAGAGCTAACGTTAAAAAATGCATTATCTTGAGTTGGAAGAAACTCGATTTCCATCTTGGGCAGGACTGACAGGTTGAAGGAAACTGCTGTTGTATGTTCTTGATCTTTGCAGATAGGTGATAATGTGATGGTGGCCGGCCAGAAAAACGGAGTTGTAAGGTTCATTGGAAGAACACAGTTCGCTTCAGGGTAAGTTTTGTTGAAGTGTAAGCGTGATATCAATTGAGAGTTTACTTCTCCTCTCATTTGAAGATGTAGGGAAATTAATATCTTTAGAATTTTAAGCCAAAATTAACAACTACAAGCGGCGAAGTTAAGAAACTTAGGCTACCATTTTCAAGGTGACCGCTTTATAAGCGACTAACGGAATTCTCTAGAACATATGGCGTAACCTTTTAAAATAGAACAATGACATCGAAATCAACCGCTGTTTTCTTGTTTTCTCTTACTCAGCATGTGGCTTGGTATTGAGTTGGACCAACCTGTGGGAAAAAACGATGGCTCAGTAGCTGGAGTCAGATACTTCGACTGTAAACCAAGTCATGGCGTCTTCGCTCCTCCATCAAAAGTCACCAAGTAAGAAACTAACTTAGTAAACAAGAAGAGATTGCCGAATAGTTTTTAATTTGCTACCCTTTATTTTGAAGAAAGGCTTTTATTGTGAATAATATATACTTTCTCTGATAATAAATGCCTTCTTACAAGCAGATGTTATCAAGAAATTTACGGGTTGTCTTGGTTATACCTCAGGGGCTCTGACGTCTTTTTCACGCCATAGGTTTAGCTCCTGTTGCTAAGCTACTTCAATATATACCGAAACAAAATGTTGCTAAGGCTTTGGACAAGTTGAACCGCTCATTAACTCGTGTTAATTGATTTGTCAATTACAGAGGAGCAGACCATTCAAACACAGCTGATCACAATGGCTTTGCAGTGCCATCCATCCCTGTTCTTAAAGGCAAATTTGGCTCCCAGAATTCTTTACAAGCCTCTGGATCTCACGGCTCGCTGAGCGATCTATCACAAACCGACTCCAACCCAGACCTCAGTAGCAGCACGCGGAAACTATCGAACCAGTCTATCACGGATCAACAAACACCGAGACGAGGCAGCGCGGCGTCAGCTGTATCTGACAAGTATGAACTGTCATTTTGGGGTATTACCTGACTTATACTCCCTTTGGGCTGTGATTTCATATTTCGACTTGAAGCATTGTTTGACCTACTGATAGCCTTACAATAGGCCACGTTTGATGTATCAATATTCTAACATGGCTTTGAGGATCTCAGGACAAACGTCTATATTTGGTGTTGTTTTCTTTGTATCAAAGTCTCTTTTGGGAATTGAGAGACAAAACAAACTTTAAAAATTTACAGTTTTGACCCGAAAGCCTCGGAGCCATGTTAGAATATTGATTT